ACCCAGAGTGTAAGACTTACTCAAAGACATACTTGTTAAGAACTATAGAGGCAGAAACTGCAGTCTAAGGCTACTTTTTTTACTCACCAATGAAGAAACTGCAAAAAAAAACAGAAATTTTATAAAAGAATCAAACAAAGTCAGTAAATCAGTGTACAAAGTCAGTTAAGCAGTCAAATGTAAACAATCTAGATGTTTAATATTTTTTTTAATCTTCAGGCCTCCCTAGTGGCACAAGGACTTAAGTCTCAGCACTATGAAGCTATCAGAAGCACGAATTTGATCCTGGGCAGGGAGCTAACCCACATGGCACAGCAGACCTCTTCTTGTCACCCGCTGCTCCCCCAGCAGTGTATTTCAGTCAAGCCTCCTGTTTTTGTTCCCCACTCTATCTCTGGTGAGTCCTCTCACACCCATACCTCTGGCCTACGCCCCAGTTCTTGTATGCATAAACAAATAAAATAAATCTTAAAAAAATGAAAATAAGTAATAAAACAACATTTTTTATCTTCACTTTTACCCCATGATGCTAAATAGTACATGTGTAATACATACTTATCAGCCATCTGAAGGGCATGTTGGCTACCGTAGAGCATTATCTCATGTTAAATATTTCACAAAAGACAATGGAGGGAGGTGTCAGACTACATATCTTCCTTTTGTTTCAAATATCTCACACTAGAGGCCAGAAATGCATTGCATGATTGAGAATGAACCTAGAGGCCTTCCTGGTGGTGCAAGGGGTTAAGCACCACACTAGGAAGCAATCCACAGCCTCTGAAGCATGAATTTGATCCCCGGCCTGCCAGGGAGCAACCAACATGGCGCAGCAGACCTCTCCTGTCTCACCCCCTGCTCCCCTCAGCAGTGTATTTCAGTTCGTCTTCCTGCTCTGTTCCCCACTCTGTCTCTGGCAAATCCTCTCATCCCCCACACCTCTGGCCTATACTCCAGCTCTTGTATGTATAAATAAATAAATCTTAAAAAATTAAAGGAAAATGAACCCAGAAGTGGAACATTCAAAAGGGTCTGAGAAATACACCAGAGGTAGAAATCTCCAGAGTATGGAGCAAACATATATGGAGCATGGAGTATGGAGCAGCCAAAGATTCATAGTCCGGAGTTACCAAAAACTTGGAGACTCTAGGATAATGTGCAGCAATTATCAGCCGCATTAAGGTAATTAAAGCACCACCTTTTCCACAAAATCCTTGGAAATCCAAATCTCCACCAGCCTGTGCCCATGGAAACCATCCTGCCTACAGAAGCTGTCCCACCAGGGAATAAGCTAGCATAGCTCCAAGTTATTCCTCTAAGGAAAGTGTGAGGTCAAAATGCCTTCTCTAGTCTTAAAATTCACTGTTTCCCATGATTTGAAAATTTTCTTCCTACAGTCACTACCTTGTCTCCCATGAAAGAAAATATTAAACTTTAAACCCTCAAAGCAAGCCAAATGATGGCTCAGTCTATCTGAACAAACAAGAAGTGATTCTTTGTTTAATTTGTCCTCCCAAAGGGGCAGAGGGGAAGAATTTATTGCTTGTCTCAGGAATCCTTCGATCTGACCTGCAAAGCAAGCAAATTTAAAGTAACCTTAGCTTGCTGCTGAGAATTTTTTAGCCCAACTCCAAAACCACTTCCATTATTTGCATTTTACACACACACACACACACACACACACACACACACACGTCTTTGCCATATCAAGGTCGTTCAATATCAAGACCATTAAATTAAATTCTCCCTAAAATGAAGTCCCATTATCAAAACTGATTAAATAATGACTAAATACACTGAGCAAAGCCTCTGCTTTAGAAATGCTTATTCAATGTTCTGGCACTACTTAGCAAAATGCTGGTTGTCAATAAGGAAAAATTATTTTACACCCTTCCTCTTCTCCCTCAACCCCACTGTCACACCCGGTATCACCATAAACTTAGGCCTAGACAAGTCTGGAAAGGGGTTAAACTTTAAGAACTGGTGTTTGTTTTTCTCGGTGGCTGTTTTTTTTTTTTAAACCATCAGCATTTTAGCTTTAAAATACCTGTCTCCCATTTTGAAGCACTCTCTCTAAGACAAAGTTAGCTCTTATTCCATAATTCTACTTGCTGCATCATTATGCTTGGCTCATAGCACTTGAGGGAAAAGGGTAGAGTGTAAACAGTTCCATCCAAGCACACATTATCAAACAGAGCTGGCATCATTGTGGATGGGTATTTAAGGTGGAAACTTCTCCCACAAAATATGGAAAGGAAGGAGGAAGAGGACAATGAAATATACCCAATATCTCAAAGTCAGGGAAAGGAAAATTCTCGGTGTCACCCCATCCAGTGTCATATTCTGACAAGAAAATAAATGTAACTTACTTCAAATACATTTTGACATCCAGGAAGGAGTCCTCTCTGTCCACCTAACATTAATACAAGTAGAACTGGAGCATTTTCTTAAAATGGCTAAATGCTGTGAAAAGTTGACATCCGTGAAGGCATTATTAAAATAAAGCCAGGGAGCCATTACAGAGAAATTGCATTACCTGTCTATGTCAAAGCCCTCTGAACTGGATTAACGACCTTTGGACAGGGCTAAAAGCAATAGTTTTATGAAAGCATCAAGCAAATGACTGAGAAGTCATCAGGATCGTGAGAACTGATGATTATGTGATAGAGGCTTAGAATAAAAAATCTGGGATGGAGGTGCCACAAGACGAGAAACTGGAGTTGTGGGGGTAGAAATGATTAACATAGTTGTTAAAACAGCTATAAAGATGAAAATCCTTAGGTGCAGACTGCTATAGAAAAAGTCAACTGCTACAGAATGTATCAGGAGGCTCAGACCAGAGGTGAGGAGCACATGGAGTTCAAGGGCCATTATAGAGAATCCCCAGTCCTTACAAATCAACCTAGTCATGTGAATGTCTTCTTTGGAACAGTGTCTATTTAGGTCTTTTTGCGCATTTGAAGGAATTCTTTGTTGTTGTTTTGTTGAATCGCATGAGTTCCTTATATATTCCAGAATTTATATATTTTAGAAATGAAACACTTGTCAGATGTGTGACATGCAAATATCTTCTCCCAATCCATAGGCTGCAATTTTGTATGCTGATTTTCTCATATTATAACATCTTTTTTAAACTTTGTTAAATTTTCTTTACTTATTTTTTCTCTTGTTGATCTATCCATTGTTGATAGTGGTGTGTTGAAGTCTCCCACTACGTATGTGTTTTCTCTGATGTCTGTTTTCAGAGAGGACAACAGTTGTCTGATATATTTTGGTGCTCCTTCATTTGGTGAGTATATGTTAATGAGTGTTACTTTTTCTTGAAGTATTGTCCCCTTGATCATAATGTAGTGACCATTGGGGTCTCTTTTTATTTTTTTGAGTTTGAAGTCTGTTTTATCTGATACAAGTATAGGTGTTCCTGCTTTCTTTTTTGGTCCATTTGCTTGTAGGATTGTTTTCCATCCTTTAACTCTGAGCCTATTTTTATCTTTTGTAGCTAAATGTGTTTCCTGGAGACAGCAAAAGGTTGGGTTTTGTTTCTTAATCCAGGCTGCAACTCTGTGTCTTTTTATTGAAGAGTTTAGTCCATTTACATTTAGAGTTAATATTGATATGTTAGCATCTGTATTTGCCATTGTGTTTGTCTTTCCTTTGATTTTACTTATTTATTCTTTTAATAATTTTTTTTGGCCTTCTTTCCTTGTTATTTGTCCCTCTGAGGTTCTGGCTTTAGGATTCCTTGTAGTATTTTTTGGAGTGGGGGTTTAGTCGTAATGAAATTCCAGAGTTTCTGTTTGTCTGGGAAGGTCCTTATTCTTTCTTCATAGAGGAAGGAGAGCTTTAAGGAAATATAGGCGAAACACTACGTGATGTGCACATCAAAGACATCTTTACAGACACATCACCCAAAGCAGTGATAGTGAAGGCAAAGATAAACAGCTGGGACTACATCAAATTAAAGAGCTTCTGCACAGCAAAAGAGACAATAACAAAAACAAGGAGAAACCCCACCAACTGGGAGAACATTTTTGCACACAACACTAATGATAAAGGACTGATCACAAAAATCTGCAAAGAGCTGATGAGACTCAACAACAACAAAGAAAATAATCCAGTCAAAAAATGGGCAGAAGAGCTAAAAAGAAACTTCTCTGAAGAAGAAATGCAAATGGCCAACAGGCATATGAAAAAATGTTCAACATCACTTGCAATCAGGGAAATGCAAATCAAAACTACCATGAGATACCATCTTACACCAGTGAGAATGGCACATATTAAAAAAACTAGCAACAACAAATGTTGGCGAGGGTGTGGAGAAAAAGGAACTCTTCTGCACTGCTGGTGGGAGTGCAAACTGGTCCAACCACTATGGAGAGCTGTGTGGAGATTTCTGGACCTACTAAACATAGAGCTTCCATAGGATCCAGCAATTCCACTCCTAGGTATTTACCCAAAGGACAGAGAAACATCAATTCCAAAGAACACCTGCACCCCTATGTTTATAGCAGCACTGTTTACAATAGCTAAGCTTTGGAAACAACCCAAATGCCAAAAATAGATGACTGGATCAAGAAGATGTGGTACATATACACCATGGAATATTACTCAGCATTCAAAAAAGATAAACACATGCAATTTGCAGCAACATGGATGGCGCTGGAAGGGATCATGCTCAGCGAAATAAGCCAGAAAGAAAAAGAAAAATACCAGATGGTCTCACT